ATAAATACCCCGGGTAAATAAATAAACAAACAAACAAACAAATAAATAAATAAATAACGAAAAGAAGGAGAAAAAGAAGGCTATACTTGTTCATACTTAATGCAAAATCATTAGAGAATAATGGCAAATCGTTTGTTAAAATTCAATCAAGATTGTGGCTATGAAAAACCAGCAATATATTCCAAAAGGTGTAGGATAGATTAATATAGATGATCTCAAAACTGTGGTCATGGTATATAAAACGTGATGTAAAATATATACAAAATCACTGAAACTGGAGACTAGTACTACATACCGAAGTGATAATTTCGTCATTGGTATGACGAAAAGTGACCATCATTTGATGTTTTTACTGATCTCTGTCCCATCCTTTTAGTTTGATTTGGGTGTACTAAATGTTTCCTATTTTAGATCGTGTGTGTCATTCTCTTAGGTATAAGATTCTTTGATTGAGATTCATTCTTATTAGTTTATTCTTTCTAATGAAAAGTTATATGAAGCTAACTCACAAGAAAACGTTTTTCAATGAGGCCGTAACAAAAAAAAAAAAATCATTCAATATTCCTGCCAAGACTTCATCACACACAAGAAAGAAAATAAAGTAGGGAAAAAAAAAAAAAAAAAAAAAAAAAAAAAAAAAAAAAAAAAAAATGATTTTTTGGGACTTTAAACTGATAATTTGATTTTATGTATTATATCATTGTTAATTATATAGGAGCGTATCCATAACTTCTCGCGAAGGATCTCTCACCATTGAAAAAAAACTGACATCGAAAGAGCATCTCTCCCTTTCCTTTTACGTACTAATACACCAATTTCAAAAAACGTTTTTGGTCGGAGATCTAAGTTGAGCGATCTGAGACTATACAGAATTTTGTTTTCATATTTTCTGGCTAAAATACGAAAAATCACATTCCTAACTCAAAGGTCATGCTTCATATTCCAATCTAATCCGACTGTGAATATATTATATTTTGCTGCGTTTTACTCAGTCTCAGATTTCAGATCAGTCAGATCTCTGACCGACAACGTTTTTTTGAAATAGATATATGGACGTAATCAGAAATAAACTGCCATTGGGAACGATGGCGATCATAAGCACCCAATGACCTTTGGATACGCCCTTGGATCATATTATATTTCAAAAAGATATTTATACAATAACCTTTAGCATTTAACGTCATGACCGTTTTGCTAGGATACTTTATATCGGTTTGTTAATAAAACCAATCAATATTTATGAATGCAGAAATAGAAAATGCAACATAAAAGTGCTTATTGCCGTAAGATTGAATCGGTGCACTCCCTTTTAGCCGGTCTTTGTTTCAAGAAAGGCTTTATCATCGGAGTATTCAATTTGGAACGATTCCTCGCAAGGGAGGGCTGGTGGCCGCTTCGACAGCTTCAATTCCCCTAAGTCCAGTAAATATGAATAGATCTTTTTAGCTTGGATGCCCCCACCCCACCATTTTAGACAATGTGTCATGCCCTGGAGAATAAGATTCAATTCTTTGTTTGAATTTGACATTTGTCTTCTCATGCGCAACAGTTAAACAAAGAAATGATACTCTTGGGAATGACACGCGCCTGAGCTAAAAATGTCGATTGCAGTATATTTTTGTGTGTAAGAGTCAAGTAGACCATGCATGATCAATACCAGGATCATGAGAGGGTGGCTTAGGTATTCGTAGGTACCGGCATTTTCTTAAAGCATGAAAGCTGTTTGGGTCAGTGGACTCGGTGTTTTCTTCAGGTACGTCTACCAAACCCAAATTGTTGTGAAATCTTGGATGAAATAACATTGGGCTATGAAGAGTAATCCCTAGGTGTTTTGGTGGAGTATTTTGAAACAACCAATCAGAAGTGCTGTGTGTGGTATTTGACTGTTGCTTGGGTAACGCAGATGGACCCACAGAATTTTGCTTAAGGTGAGGTTCTTGGTAAGATGCTGTATGGTTTACGTTGGAAGGGAAATTGGGTGTCAAAGCCGCAGATGTATTAGTCTTTTCGAGCCTTTTTGATCCGGCAATAGAACTGTTGAATTTTGAAACAGAAAAACCTGGTGTTTTGTTTGTTTTCAATTGAGAGTCATGACTAAGCATCTCACAAGTCATCCCAACGACTTCGGGACCATTCATCCCGCAGGTTACCCCACCGGGTTCGGGACCACGAGTACCAAATGTCAATCCATCTGATTTGTGACTGCCTAGTCCACCGATCAAATGGCGTTCTGAATGAACCAAATCCCGTATATGTACGATCGATTTGTGATCGCCAATATTATCTGTGGGGACCCCACTATCTGGCAAACCACTCGTCAGATGAGACAATCCACCAGCTTGGTGACCGCCCATATGAGACAGTCTACTAGTTTGGTGACCACCCATATGAGACAGTCTACTAGCTTGGTCACCACCCATATGAGACAATCCACTAGTTTGGTGACCACCCATATAAGACAATCCACTAGCTTGGTGACCACCTATTTGATGAGACAGTTTACTAGTTTGGTGACCATCTATACTATAAGACAGCCCACTAGCTTGATAACCACCCGTGTGATGAGGCAATCCAGTATTTTGGTGACCATCCATCTGATGAGGTAATCCTCTATGTTCAAAATCAACATGTCTAATTGACATACTGCGATTCCTAAGATTATAGTCTTCAATTTCTTTTGCCTTTTGAATCTGTGTACCAGATGCAGATCGCGGCCTAGTGACTGATTTCTTAGTCTCAAAATGCTGTGGCATGTCTCGTAATCTCCTCGAGAGGAATTTTTCTATTTGAGCCGGTTCTGAGTGAGTTTTACGCAAAGATTGATGACTAAACTGTTTGGAAGAGTCTTCAAGTGACAATACTTTTCTCGAAGAACCAAATGGTGTAAATCTCAAAAAAGATGAATTATACTTGCTGGGAAGATTATTAGCATTACTGTTATTTACTCTAAGATCTTGTCCTGTTTTTCTTTTGAAGTTCGAATCATAAGAAGACGACGTACTGCATCCAATATGAATATCCCCTTCATCGTCATTGCTTCCTGCTTCCGAAATATCCGACATGTCGCAGTCATCATCACATTTCTCGATTTTATTTTTGCTCATTTTGCGGTACAATTTGATTTCACTGTCCATCTGAGCCAGAGAAAGTTTCCTTTCAGTATTCAACTTCTGCAGTTTCTTGTCGAGGTTTCTCTCTTCTCTTGAAAATGCATTAGTCAAGGAAGTGCTGTGCACTAGGTCACTATTTCTGGTCTGTGTCTGCAGACCTCCTCGCCTCGAAGGTGCCTTACCACGATACATGTTGTCTTTTTTGATAACCAACTAATTTCCGCGTCCAGAAATCTGCGATCCGATAAGTGTTAAAATCTTGATCTACCAACTTTCAAATCATTTGACAAAAAATCCCAAAGTCTCCAAATGTATTTCAGTGCTGCTTTCCAAGTGGTCTAACTTTTCTTCGCACACTTCAAAATCAATATTGCTTTTGATATACAATTAGCACTGGAGAATGGTGCTTGAGTATCAAATCACTTCACAATAACTAAAAATCCAAGCTCCTGTGACGTATTTCAGTCAGCAACAAAAAGTATTCTAAGTTTTGTCACCCCCTTAGTACTTGCTCTTGGGCCTCTTGGTAAGCAACAAGCCTAAGCAGAGTACATGTTTGAAGGAATCTCATTCTATAGTGTTCGTGAGAACTCCAGCGGTATAATATTAAAGGAATGATGAAATCAATAGGACAATTGTCTTCCGCGGCGTGAGCAGTGCACGAAATCTGCTGACTTGTTGGCCACATGGCTCTCACAAATCCCAGTTATGTGCCCTTTATCATGTAAGTCGATACAATATATTCTGAGTCATGAACTATATCAAATATATCAATATCAGTACAGGCGAAGCGACGCGTCGGTGAAAAACAAAGGTAGAAAAGAGATGATCGCAAAGATGGACAAGAAGGAAGCAAATAGACAACTATATTTGTTGTAAAACATTGACCATGTATTCATAGCTTAAATGGCTGACAATCTGCCCTCTTGAACTGAGACACCGATAAATTCTTTTGGCGGATTATAACTAAAAATCGGTTCTGGAAGGTCATGGAATATCTTATCGGCATCATAACTCATCGCAGTCTGAACTTACGTTAGCATCAATCAACTCTTTACTTAACCTGCTCGAATAAAATCACTGTTGACCAAGGGCGGCTGCATTAAAGACTCTATTATCGACATCTGCGCAGCTAGTCACTGATGCGCTCGTGGATCCTAGTTACTCAGAATACCGGCGTATAGGTATTATTGATAGACGGCATTCTATTTAACCCGCTCGATCAAGGTGTAAGTTTATCGACATTTTCTAGGGTGGCATGGTAGGTCGGAAATGTTTCGCTAATACAAAGTCATGTAGATTGATGAGAAAATGAGTTACATTCTTACATTGTTATGAAAATTGTATAAAATAATATAATAAATAAGAAAATACATATTTTTAAACATATTGTTCTTGATATCACGATAATTATAATTTTTTTAAATGGAGATGCGTCCGCTAATTATATTTTTCATTATTCTATGATACCGCAAAAACAATAAAATTTATTCCTATAAAGTTGCTCGTGATTCACTTAAAAATATGACATTGACTTATTATTAGATATTCGGTATATCTTTGAAATTGCCCACCTATGTGCGGAGTATTTCTTTAGTATCTGACGTTAAACTTCGTTAAGACTTTGGCCACCTTATCTTGGCCTTCCCACTTCTTTGTCACGTGATCCCAGATGTCGTCATTGGTGGTCTGGGTTCTAGAACGCTTCTTAGAATGAGCCGTCGGGCCTTTTGTTTTATTCCCTGTATCGGCAGATGCTATCAAACAAACAAAAATACTCATAAACAAAAAATTATGAGCATTGACCAACGCCGTGATACGGATACCGAGGTGACCATCCAAAAAACGTGCATGGCGGCCATATTTCAGAGGGTAGGAAAAAAAGATCGAGTCAACAGTATAGTGCATTTTAGAAATGCCTTAGGGGGATATATATTTTCAAGAGGGCGCCTATTTTGTCCCTCTAAAACATTCCCATAATGCACTGTAATGCAAACTTGACCCAGTGTCCCTCTCAACCTCGGAATAGCTAATATCACCGAGATTACAGTGTCCGTAACAGCGAGCTGCCCATTAAGGGACCAATTGTGATTATTTAAGTCGGAGAGGGGGGCGAAGGAGAAAATGTTTTTGATTCATAAAATTTTCCAGACCCCAATCTAATAGCATTCATGTTTTTCGGGTACCCCCTTCAATCGTTTAAAAAATCCTCCTAATCCTGCCGATCCTCCTTTTGACCTTTCAAGGCCCGCCATGTTCCACCAAAATAAATTTTAGGGCCCCCAATTTTCTCCTCAAACCCCCTCCCTCCGACTTTATGACTGGTCCCTAAGCATGATTCCACTATACAATTGAATGAAACGAGTTTACAATGGTTAAAGAGAAAAAGGTAATTGTCTATTACCTCTGGAAAACATCTTCAGCGTACAAGCAGCTTCCTCTTTGACCAATCCTTCTTTGTACTCATAAAGTGCCATAACGAGGCTCATACCTCCGTGCGCTAGGAAGAGCTGCTTAAGAGCCTGGTTATTAGATACCAGGCTCCGGAGTACAACCAAACCGAGACTTTGGATTTCTGGTTCATCTTCCGTACCCCGGATGTAATTAATAACTTGTGACAGACAACCAAGTTTGACGAAGTTGAGTCGGCTATCATTCTGTAAAGAGGAAGTTTCAGAGGTGTATTTTATGCTGCTGGAAAATGATACTTATATAACCTATTACATTGCAAAGTATTTACGTAGGCCATAGTTAGGTCAGTATAGGTTGGGTAGGTAGATGGGTAGGTATGTAGGCAGTAATCTCAATAGTAGGTAGATAGTAAGGGAAATAGGATAGTAGGTAGGTGGGTACTGAGATAAATGGGTAGCTGGGTCAAGGTATAGGCATGTAAGTAGGTAGGTAGGTAGATGGGTGGGTGGGTGTGGGTAGATGTTAGTTCTTTACCTCTCCATTTACTATCGCCTCTCGTATTACCATTAACGACAACCTCCCCAAATTTCTCGTTGCTGGAGGCTCAAGAAGATCCAAGAGATAAGCCCCACAGTACTGGATCACGTGACGTACACACAAGTGACTAAGTTGAGTGGACTTGTTCTTTGGTTTGTTTAGTTGAGTAAGAGAGGACCGCTGACTTGGTTTCGTGGATTTGGAAGCTTTCTTGGTCTTTGTGGCCCAAGCTTCCTGAGGTTGATTGTGTGAAGCCTGGTCATTACAGACTCGTTTTGGTGGATTGTATGTGTGCATCAAGTACCGCAGTACTTTAATGACACCTATCTGTTAAAACAAAGTCAAAGCCAGTTTTATAGTAAATTTAGACAACCGATAAATCCCTAAACAAGGTCTTCAAATGATTTTTCAAGAGGGAGATGGATAACAAAGCAAATAATTACTTGAATGTCATAGACACCACAGGTAACCCAAACAGCAAGAAGTGACACCACATTAGCTGCTAAAAGACTTTGCTTCACATAATGAATCATCTCGTTCTTTGAGCTCGTCCCAGGATCTAACACAGAAGGCGACGAGGAAGACTTGGTTACTTGGCTTGTAGTCGTTGATCTTCTCTCCATAGTTGTATGACTCGTGCGACTACTTAGAGATCTGACAAGTAGAAATAACATGTAAGAAGCCTTTGAGTGAAGGAGATAACTTATTTCCATGTTTGATCGAAAAGGAAGGGAAATGAACTCGTTTCAAGAAAAATTTAGGTTCGGAGAATAAACCCCAAGATCTGAGGTCCGTACAAATATCTTTTGTTCATCATCCCTTATATGGTATGCTTTGTACCGGATTTAAAACATTCAGCATCTTACTCACGGCGGCGCCAGGCCGCTGATCGTATAATTCGTTACCAATCCCTTTCAAACTAGAAGGTAGAATATCGATCTTGGCGAGAGCGGGAGGCTTTCAGTCATGAAATTTGAAATATATGACAGACACACCATCCAGTCTACGCCATCGTCTTATGAAGACTAACAGTTTTCAGTCGAAACGTCGCGTTGCTACAAATGACCCTCAATCGTGAGACAAATGAACAAGTATTATTGATAACAATTCCCAGGATGAATAATATTTTTTATTCTTAGTTTGTTCTTTCATTTTAAATTCATTACCTGGAACTATGCCGTTTTATTCTTTTCTTATTGCCATTATCGTTGCCTTCCTTACCCCCACGGGGAGATATTGAACCATTCACCCTGATGACACTCCTGACGACCAAAGCCGCACTTAGGAAAGAAATATGTTTTCTTTTAGAAAGTGCAGGGGGTGACCTGTTGTGAATAAATACGTTCAGATCCTCTTGAACAGGATCGAAATCTTGAGTTGTTACTTGCACCAGAAGATTAAGGAATTCGACAGCTTGTCCTACGAATTGAATTTCTGCCGAATGAAACCCAAAATCTGGGTAGCGATTTTTCGGTATTCGCTTTTGGCCGGAAGCAGTGAATATCAGTTCTGATCTTGTATTTTTGATTGAAGATACTATTTCCTTTGGTGGTAAAGTTGTGGGGTCGATTTCATGGAAACTGGGAGGGTTTACACGTTGTAGTTTGGTCGTTAGGAATCGGAGTTGATTGAGAAACTGTAGACCACCGCATTGAACAAATAATGCGGCAAGACTAAGATTTGCTCTATAATGAAAAGACATAAGACTGATCAAAGAAATGAATGAATAAACAAAAAAAGAAATAAACGAATGAAACGAAATGGCATTCTTTACACTCGGTCGTTTACACATTACTTTTATCGGGAAAAAAAGGAAGGTGTGAACGAGAGAGTGTAAAAAATGAGGAGAATGATAATAAATTAAATGGGATTCAACTGATTAAATGAATGGAATTGGAAATATATGAATGGAAGAATAAAGAAAAGAACGAATTCTTAGTGAATGGAAGAAACGACAAATAAGTAAATAAATGGAAGACAATAATACCTTAAAAGATCAATTGCTCTGACAAAACATAAGACAGACATTAAAATGGAAATCAAATAAACTTACCCATTTCCCAACGAACAGGGAATCTCTTTCTCGCTTTCGTCCCTGTCTTTCAAACAAATTAACGTCGCCATGGCAACCAAAATATTGACGAGCACCCTTAAACTACTAAGGTACTGCTCATTAACACCTTTGGTCGATATTCCCTGACAATTTCTGGCATCTTTACCTTGACTATCGTTTGTAAACGTTCTACTTGTTCCGCACAAGTGTAACGAGTCAGTTTGAAAACTTATACTAAGAACGGAAAATATGTCTACCATGGTTTTCTCCAGTTTCGATAATGACGTATGTTTCTGTAAATCACTAATGATTTTAGTTGTTGTTGGTTGAGCTCTGAGTGCGTCGAGTTCTCTATTTGAATCATATGGTTGATCAATTTGTGCGATTGAGAACTGCTCAAGCGCACTGAGCACTTTAGTCTTGTCCGAGTGTTGCGTTATGTTTTTGAAGGCTTTACTTGTGTTTTCTCGGACAAATCTGAAACCAGAAACCAAGAAAAGCAATTAGAATTCACTAAGATATGTAGTTAGGCTGGTGAAGGGCATTTATGTACGATCAAACTTTTAAGAAAACTGAGAGATGAGGCAACACTCGAACTGACAAATCGTTAATTGATCGTTAACATGCAAAGGCTGGTCGCTTAATAGAGATACATATATATATATCGCTGTAAAAACCCTCTTTGGGACTTGGACACGAATTTAAGATTGATGCTAAACATAATTTTCAACAAAGATCTTGATTCCTTATTTCAACAACCGGAGTCGATGATCAAGCAACGTACGTAAATTATGTGATACTGGTCAGCCGGGGAAGGCAATGTTTACATTTTGACTTACCTACAATGAGAGCATGTCATGGCCCAAAGGAGGTGCTCTGTTGCATGATGGGATATAACGGGGTCAATGCCATGAGGAAATAAGGTTAACGTTGATAGAAACCGAGCTGCTTCCTGCTGTTGAGAGCTGAAAGGAAGTTTACTTTTAGGTGATACTTGTCATGAAATAACAGTTCATTAATAGAATCAAAGTTGCACACATTTTGTATATCCACATTCACAATCTATTTTGTGAACGAGGGATACTCAATAACCATATTTTCTTTCTTTTGTCTGTTCTAAATCAAGGTGGGAAGGCGAGAAGAACCAAATAAATGACATTCAAAGCATGAATATTTTAGTTACGTTGGTTAAACATGGTCATTTATACCTCTAGACCTTACACTTTCTCCTATTAAATACAATTCTTTCTCCTACCCTTAATTTCCGCACCCCCGTTCTCGCTTTCCTAGAGAATTTTAGTCAACAATGGACTACTTCGATGATACGGGGGCCATCTTGGATCGCAAGGTAACATAAGAAGTCCCAGGGAGGCAAATAAAGCTTTGCTACAGTAATGGCGTTGATTGATATTCTAAACAGCTTACCACAAGAGTATAGGTACAACAAAAGATGAATTAAGGCAGTACATCGATCACCTTTACCCATAAAAGAAAGACAAACACACCAAACTCTATGTATTCTCCGTCATCTTTGTTTTGTTTTACCCCATGGCAAGATGGTCGCCGTATCGTCCAAGTAGTCCATTAAGGTTGCTGATGTATGCACTGATAATAATTTAAATTCCTTTACCATGAGCTGTACTGCAAGATGTCCAGAACCCTATCAACAGCTTCACTGTATTTAGAAATAAACTGCTCAACTATATCATAGCTGTGTGCAAGTAGACTGTTGAGAACTCCCATAGCCACTTTCTGTGGATAATGGAAACGTATATATTCAACATCACGCTAACAAACAGCTGCAGATCCAGGTAGGGGTCTCCCCTTTTAAAACTGGAAATGAGGAATCCTCTTTAGACATGCATTTCCTTATCACAATCATCACCTCCATCATCATCATCATCATCATCATTTGAAAATCAAGTGGCAAAACCGAGCCCAAGAATCTATCTAACGTAATTAAATTTTTCTGTGCCATGCATGTGATCATTTTTGAATGAAATGATCAGTTAAAAAAACGTGGTAACGATAATAAAAGACAACAACAAATAAGCAAAAGGAAAAACACCCTGACGGACATTTAATTTTACAACTTTGATTTCCATCATATCATTATCATTGTTATGTCTCATTATTCACCTATCATCATCATCATTGTAATCGTGTACCAACATCATTCGTGCAGCACGCGACTACCATCAACCATCAATACCATCAATATGAAAAAACACAGCTTCTGCTAAGATGTGATTTAGTTTTAAAAAAAGTTTCAACAAATTTACCTGAATTGCAGGAGACCCAAATACTTTGCCTTCGTCGGTCTTAAAAAGACGAAAATTTTTTTAAATGAAATAAGACTCCCATCCTATCAAAATGGTCTAATATATTCAATACTTATGTACCTTACAGCGCGTCAAGTCAATGATTTTCGTTAAATCAAAGCCGTTTATTAACATTGCAGCCATCTTCTGGTTTTTTGCCAGGTTCATGACTGCATCCAATATTGCTTTACGTAAAGACTCGAACACAGTCTCCTCATCCGCTGATAAAACATCGAAAAGAGCCTCGGTTCCAGAGATAGCCATTGCTTCCATCCATAAATCAGAGAACTCTTCTCGTTCGGTTAACTGTGGAATACGAATGCAAGGAGGAAGAAGGGAGGGAGAGGAGAAGAATGAAGGCAGTCAGGAAAATCTTTTAGTAAGAAATATAAGTAAGATAATCACCAGCAATGTCAGTAAAACCAATCAAAGCTCACCTTGGCTATGCAACAAGCAGCTTGTAGTTGAACGTCATCGGTAGATCCCATCAACATAAGGTATATTAGATCATTAAGAACATCGTTTTGCAAGAACAGTTTAGCAGTCGTAGAAGTGCTTGTCACCTTATTGATCAGTATCAGTAAACATTCCTGGAATGAAAAAAGACAAATGAAAACTAAATGAATAGACCTCTTTACCTTAGTATGCGCATTGCCCATTTCAGACCACCTGAGAATTGTTCTTTTATGATGAACATTTTAAAATATTTACATATGAAAAGATCAACTTCATGGTTACATGTCTGAAATGGGACGACAAACAACGAAGGTAGAGACTAATTCTTTTCGTTCTTTGAAAATTATTCCCATTTTAGGCCACGTGTTATTCCTTAGGGCAAAATCCTTGTTAACGCAGTGATATCGCGCGCTGTGATTGGTTCAAAGAATGTCCTCAAAACAGTACCGTGACCTTGTCTTTCCACAATTATACCAAATCAACTCTGTTAAAAACATGACCGCGGGAAATTTTTAAAAACATTTTCGTAAAATCCTTTTTATAAAGTACAAAGGAAATACTGACGCCTTCTACGTAGGCATCTCTCTTGTCTTTTCATCTTCTCTAGGCTTCCTGTGAACCTAGTAAGTCTATATCTAAGAGGGTTAGCACACGTGCACATGGACCAAAAAGACCTTTGCGTGTTCAAACAATAGGACAAATCTATTGTGTTACTGCCTCGTTACATTGTTTTATTTAACAAATAGGGTCCAAAAGAGGCTTTTCACCATCACGTGATGGCAGCCATGACAGGAGGCAGGAACAATTAAATCTGGTCTAATCTGATTTACATGAGAAAGAATTCAGTTTCCCAGTGGATCCTGTCATGGCTGCCATCACGTGATGGTGCAAAGCCTCTGGGTGCTTTTGGTCCATGTGAACGAGTTCTAACCATCTAAGAGCAGCATTCCTGCGGACGAGCCAGACTACACCAAGACTAATAAAAAGCTTCTAAAAACATGATCCCATTCAGAAAGTGATTAATTTCAAAGTGTCAGGCAAATCCGAAAGGAATGAACACAATTAACAAACACTAAAGATTGAATTGGTCACTAATGTCGTACTAATGGACTTACCTGTACAATGTGGTTATTAGAGTCTAACATCTTTAGCACCTAAGAACAAAGAAAGAGGATTTCGAGTTTAAGTAAACAACCTCGAGTAATTAAACAATGAGAGTAATGGACTATTTTAAAGCTCTCCGAGTTAATTTTCTCTAAGCCTTACTGTTATCCCTAAAATTATTTTTCAGTTATCCCTTATCTCGAGAAAAGATCATTTTCATTATAACCCTAAAACTGTTTTGCTCTAAACCGAACAATCCTAACAGAGTCTCCAAGATCAAGCGTGAAAAGGCTACAGCCCCAAAATTAGTTTTCTCTCAGTGAGAATTATTACAAGTTTACTGAATCTTAACAGGCCGGCAAGTAGGTTATTGTTCCTTTTAGTTCATGTAGTGTCATTATCGGCCTCTTCCAATTTTGTCAGTCCTCGGAATTTTTTTTATCCAATTTTTTGACAGCATGTAGTCCTATTACCTATGCTAATTACGTCATCCCAAACTCTACTCGATTGATTCCATAAGTCATAGTTTTCCATCAAAAGAATGCGAATGGAAACGATCCAAATTAATCTTTAATTTGGACAGGAAAGAGAAATTGAAAATAATACAATAGTTGCTCATAGTTTCAGCTGTGGTTGCATAACTCGTTAGGCAAAAAGGTAAAAAATGAATAGAAAGGCAATTGTTGTTTGGTCGGTCACACCAAAGAAAGTTAATAAAATTATTTTTCAAGTTATTAATATAGTGATTATTTATTCATATGTTCTGAGATCAAATAACTGGATACACTTTTGGTCAGTCATTCTGGTTCATTAAACTTGCCATAATTAAAAGTTAAAACAATTAAGAATCATTTCACATTAGAATGGCAGAGCCCTATATTGGTAATAACGTCTATAAATTATGTTAGCAAAAATTATTTGACCTCTGTGTAAAAATATAAATATTTGTAGAGAATTAAATTATGATCATAACACTTACCCTCTTAACTTCGTCTTCATTTAAAAGAGAATTTCCTTGAAACCTTTTGACAAGATTACAAATGACATTCGATGATCCATTTTTGTGTGTTTCCTTATCATATTTGAATAAAATATCAAGCAATTCTTTGAATGAAATATCATCATCTTCTTCTTCTTGTTCTTCGTAGCTTCTCCTAATGTCATTTCGTTTCCCTATTTCTTCTGGACTCTCACACGTACAAGTGCAATTTCTAGATAAATTCTCATCTGATGGCTTAGGAACCAGAACTTTGATTGATACTATCTTTTCCTTGTGTGGTTTGGGAAGAGATTTTGTAGCTTTTCTTGGAGGTTTGTATTTAAAGTCGATGCGTAACTTCGACTCAACTCGTGGCTTGACATAACGGGTCTTCGTTTCAATCCTAAGCTTAGGAATTCTTTTACAGATTTCTTCAATATTCCTGTGAGTCTCGCAATTTTGTCCAGTTATCTCTAAAAATCTAAAATTCCATTGACTTGGAGACGAATAGCACGCATTTAGATCCGTATAGTCTGTGATATGCTGCCATACTTCCATTACTTTAGCGTCCTTCGCGACAGATTCTGGCTTTTCGTGGCCTTTATCATCGTAGTTCTTGACGTCTAATGCCGTGTTATGTGACATGTTCTCTATTTCAGCCCATAAACGTGAATAAACACAGAGCAAACATCTAAAGTGATTGCTAAAAGGCCTAAGTAATCATAACTAAGTGCTGTGTTTGTTTTAACAGTAGTAGGCAAGCAAATAAATGATTATGAATGAGTTCAATGGTCTCAAGGGATTTACGGATAAAAAAGACAACGAAATTATCTTATAACAGTTAATGAGGACTGTAAGGACAGGACAATAGGTATCTTTTTTATGAAAAACTTTGTGTTCTACCAAAAAAAAAACAAAAAAAAAAAAAAAAAACCAANAAAAAAAAAAAAAAAAAACCAATGAAGTCAAAACTAAAAACTTCTTTTAAAAAATCTAAAAACAGAAAACAACCCTCAAAAATGTAGATGAAAAAGTTTGAAAGAGAAAAACTTTCTAACGTAAGAGAAAAAGAAGGAAACTAAAAAAGAAACTGGAATTACTAACCAATCAAACTCTCCAAAGTTTCACTTTTGTCGGACATGAACAGAGCAAAAGAGAGCTCTCAAAAACGCTTAAAAAAGTAGTCAGAAGATACCAAAAAATGATGCTTTCTCACCTTCAGAAGAAGTTGGTAACATTGCGAATGTTGGAGAGAAATATTGGTGATTTTTTCGCTGCCTAAAATCGATAAAAAGTGCATTTTTTTAGGACAGTTGTCTACAGCATACTGTCCCAGTAAAAGTCAGCAAAGTTGTGCTTTGTTGCATTGTGACGTAAGTCATTAAAAGCGCGCGCTTTTACTTGATTGGCCCTTTTAGGTTTGATTGACATTTTCTATGACGACCAAGTGCAAAAAAGCGCGGGAAAATAAGGAAAAGAAGAAAAGGAAAATTAATGAAAACAATATTCAAGAAAGAAACAAAAAAAGCAAAAAAAGAGAAGTATGAAGAGAAAGATGGAGAAGAGAAAAGTAAGAATGGAATTTTTAACCCAAGTCTAAAGGACTCGGTAACCAAAAGCCGCAAAGAAAAAGCACGAACCCGACTTCTTGATGTAGTGAATTCAAAGTACAAACGACTTCTTCTTTCGTTACTATATTACTCCTTACTTCAATTTATTACATTTTATATTACACGTCATATCTGATGTTCTGTGAACGAAAAAACATAATAATTATACTACACAGAAACCCATTTTCTTGAGTTTGATCACGTTAGGGTCCACCAACTTCGCCTAAAGCATGTTCAGCGGCTACTGCCTTTGCCTTGGCTTTTGCTTTGAGTGAATTTAAATGTTGGACGATTTTCTTACATCCACTCCTGGAAATAAAAAAATTATGTCAAAAAGTAATGTTTTGGGATACAGAGATTTTACAGTGCATATTTTATATTAGTGGGAAATGAAGCCGAGAAGCTTGACACTCAAATGGCTTTCGAATTCCAGCACTCTGATTGGCTGATGTGCATTTGTTGCGTTTTTAATTGGTTCAGAGAGGAAATCATTTAAAGGTCAAGGAACATTACGTCTCCCACAGGCACGAAATTTTTTTTCTAATGACCTAAAGTGGTTCTAATAATCATTTTAATAATTGCGCAACCCGACAAATTTAGGTTTGGCAATCGGTGTCAAATTTCCAACAACGCGAGTTAGAATTTTCCCCCCGACTAATTCCAAAGATACATCTCTTCTACTTTTACATACCGAGCTTTTTTCTTTTCAGAGTCCGAGCAGCCAGCGCTCGACCTCTGTAAACAGGACGCCAAGTTGACAAGAAACCGCGCAAAGGTCTCTAGGGTGGGCAAAGTAGAATCTGTGAGTAAGGTCAACCAAGGTCTGGGGATGGTGTTGGTGATCTGAAAAAAATAAAAAATCAGATTACTGCTACAGTGTAGGTCTCCAATTAAAATATTTATTTATTTAAATATTCATTTTATCTTTCGGCCCTCAAAATTAAGATGATTTCGATTACAAGGAGAGAATATTGAAAAAAATCACGGTAATGATTTGAAGATATACACTCAACCAATCATATAAAGCATGCAATATCATTGCTTATTCAATCTTAAAACACTCATTAATAATTCATAAGCTTATGGTCCAATTGGAGTCACCATACACGTCACGTGCATGAACCTTTATACCCGATAAAGTCCTCTTCATTAGTATTCAAGTGATTTTATATAAAGACACATGCGTTTTTATATAAAGACACATGTGATCTTTATATAAAGACCACTCGAATACTATGAGGATGACTTCATCAGGGATAAAGTATGCATCCAAGTTTAGATGAAGACATAGAGCTCCATCAACGTCATAGTCAACCCTAAAGATCTTTGAATAACGTGCCTGTCTTTGCCTTGGCACGCAATATCCAACGTGTGGGAGCTTCTATTGAATCTGGTTGCGCATGCCCGTGACGTCAAATCTCTATCGAAGTATAAAAATCCATGTTCGTGACGTGTATGGTGGCTCCAGTTGAACCAAAATCTTATAAATTGTTCATGAGTGTTTTAAGCAGTTCAAAAAACTCGTAGATCGTGTTTTATCAGGTATATACCTTTATACCTGATAAAACACTCCTACTCGTTTTTTAAACACTACATAATGCACAGATACGGTCATGGTCACGGCACGGCAGGTTGGCACCGTGAGATTTATAAAACGAAATTTGCAACATTTGTGCACTTTTCCCACCGATCAAAACATTACCATTTTGCATTTTTCTAGACTGTCGTAATATAGTGTAGAATGTTGTAGGCCCAAGATGAGGTATCGATTCAGTAATCCATCCAGTGCTAACTGTTGTATTGCTCCGGAAGATAACAGGCCATCCCATAATAAGATATTACAAAATAGCTGATAAAATATAATAATAATTTCAAAAATTAGTAAGTAAAAAATTTATATGCACTGTGTTAGTGTTAAAGGTATCACATTGTAAATAAATGTTGTTCTAGTTTGCTTTGCATCTAGTCACTTTGCTTCTTAGTGCACTAATGCCACAATGCATCATAGGATACTTTGGGGTAGAAATATGTTTATAGTGATTTTAAGTACCAAAGCATTAAGAATAAATACCTTATAGCAAGACCAGTACTGCCTTTGGAAAAACTCTAGTACACCAGAACTTTTGTTTTCTAATAATCTTTCAGAAATAGGAAAGAAAAAAAGATTAAAATATTAAATTCAGAAATATGAGAAGAGAAAAGAAATTACTTCAAAAACTGCAATAAAGGAATGAAAGAGTAAGGAAAAGAAAGAAAGGAAACAGATGGGAATGAAAGACATTAAGGAATAAAAGGAAACGAAACTGTCTAAAACTAAATGGAAAATATTTTCCTCTAGCCTGGTACTTACTGTTTTGGATAAAGAGGTACATATACATCTTCATTGACTGCTTTTTTCAAACGAGTTACAATGGCACTGAACAGTTGCTATGAAGAATAAAGATTCTCAGTACAATATAGGCTTCAAGGTTTAAGGGAAAATGATTTGACCAGGCATGGCTCAGTTGGTTAGTGGCAGTGCACAACCTTCAGAGCTAGAGGTCCATGGGTTAATTGACATTACTTCTCTCTGATCAGACTGTGTAGCTTCAGCTTTAAATACCCGCAATAAGGAGCACTGACAGTCTGAGGGGTACCATCTGAGGGGATAAAGTGTGCGCCTTTAAGCGCTTTATACATGAGCTTCCGGCTTAAAGAATTGGGCAACCACTCCCAGCATTATCGAAGTAAAATGTTAGCTTTACTTTTATTTTTAGAGTGAGTAAAAGGTTCCAACAGATAAAACTATCAAGACCTCACTAATATTTAAGAGAATAAAGATATATAGCTGTAGATTGTTACCTGGGTGGTTTTGTTGTCTGCCTGGACTGTAGGGAAGTCATCGGAAAGATTTTTTAGAAGTTGAATGAGTCTCTCTGTTTGCTTACTTGACAAGGGATCCCAAACATGTTGAACTAATCCTAAAATAGATAAATGAATCAATGGATGGACATCAAATGAATATATGAACAAATGGATGTAAGGATGCATAAATCAATGGACAGATAAATTAATGAAAAATCATTGCAGTCTTTATGTCAAGCCTGCCTTATCAATGCACGCAATGCAATATATTTTATGTTGACTGACTCAGAGAGCAAAATCACAGTACCTGTTAATTTAGTAAGAACTGCCTTCTCTATTATGCTAGGTATTATCTTGATGTCATCGTCTTTAGGGTCGATATCTTCATGTTCATGGAAACCAAATCCAATAAGAGAATTATACCAAGAYATTTGCTCTATGTCCAAAGCATCTTCCTGAAAAGGATGAAAAAACATTAAAGAGTGAATGAATGATTAGAATACCATGCAACCACTAAAGAAGATTTTTGAAATTTTAGTTTTATGATAAAGCGGTTCTAAAGCTTTTAAATTCCCTTAATCAAGAATCGTTACTGCAGACCTTCTCAACCCTTTTGCATATTTCACATACCCTAAAATTTGGAGGCTTAGATTGAAAAAAAAGGTAAAAAAATTAAGACTGAATGTGAGGAGGAGGAGAGGAATGTGTCTAAATATAACTTACGTTCAATGGATTCCATCCAAGGAGTTCCAAACGCACAAACATGGTGAAGAGTTTTGGAAGACATAGGGAAATGTACGCATTTTTGTAGCTATCTTCGCACACATTTTTCCATTTCTCAAACTTTGATTTGACTTTTTCGATGGAGCTAAAATCCTCTATGACGTCTTCAAATAATGTTCTTGATTCTTGAATGATTCTCTCTGAGATGATGAATATAATTATCAGGAAGGAGGGAAAAATGGCAGGAAAAAATTAGGGAGTCACTTTACAATAAAACACAGCACTGTGGAATAGGCTCAAATTTTCTTATAACAGCCGCCCCCAATTTTGCTTGATTGCTCCACTTATTTTCATTGATTAGTTCCAAACATTGCACATGTATGTGATCAAAATGTGGCCAAAATGTAGGCAAAAAGGCATGGCTTAGCTGTTATAAGAAAACTTGGCCCTTTTTCACTGTTTGATGATTTTTTTGTTGCAGAAAAGTGCATTAAAATTGGGAGGGAAAGTTTTTATAAAACATTGTTTCCATGATCTCAAAGTAATGCTGCATTAAAAGTTACCAAAAATAAATAAATAGCTCAACAATTTAGTAATTCATAGGGAAATTCACCCGATTCAGACTTCAGCTGCCGTGAATCTGTTTCCGTTTCTTCTTCATCAGTAGACATTCCCTCATGATGTGCAGTATTAGAACCAGTTATTTCTCTATTTCTTCGCCTTCTCATTCTTCTTCCTTCTCTATCTGCCGCCCTTCGTTTCTTGCGTTCTTCCACATACATGGTCATGTCTCTGCCAAACTCATCTATTATTGGTTTGACATTCTGATTTTGTTTTCCTGGATGAAGGTAAGTGAGCTTTTTAGCTGTGCTTTCTTTTTTTCCTTCTATAGGCATTGTACAACTTTGAGTATGGAGGTCATTCAGGGGTGACCCAGAGGGGATGTAAAGGGGGGCTGTAGACACCTCCCCCCTCCCTTCAGGACATTGGCTATTATTCTTGAAGTAGAATAGCAAAAAATATTTTTCCAAGTTCTGTAGTTTCATTCGCAAAATTTGGTCAAGCCCCCTTATATTTTTAACTGGATTGGCCCCTGGACAATTTAGAAAGAATCCTTTCATATGATGAAATTGATTTATTAGCTAGGAAAGTATGTATAGAAATAATTTATCATTAATTTTGTCTCTAGCTGAAAGGAACTTAGAAAAAATTATGAGTCCCAGATTCATGGTTATGCTCCCAGTAGTTGCCGTTGCTATGTCTCAAAAGCTTAACAACTTAGCTAGAATATCTCAGAATTTAGAACTGATCAAAGAAAATTGATTATAAGCTGTTTCTGTTGTTTACTGTCTTTTGAAAATAAAATAAAATCGCCTCATAATCCTTGTAGTATTCTTCAAAATAAATACTGTGTAGTTGTTTGTGGGACAGGATTTTAATTCCACTGGGAAAACTGCTGCAATGGKGATTGGTTTGCTGTTGTCTGAGGGGGATACAAGAGTAGTCTGATTTCTGTAATCCTGTTTTAGTTAGGATACAGGATTCAACCTTAACAAGTTAATACACATTTCATAAATTCACAATTTATAAAAATTCCATTGATTAACGGATATTCCGAGCAGGTTCTGAACATTGTTCGTTTTGTTTCGTGTTGGGTAAAAGATCACGCGCGGATTTGAATTAAAATATAGATCTAACACGACCTTCTCGCGTAAAGCCTCAGTGGCCGAGCGGTTGAGATCTTGTCTAGCAAACAAGAGGTCAGTGGCTCGAGTCCCACGAGAACCCAACTGAGGCAGATTTTTTAATCTGCTTATACACTTGATGTAGCATACACTTTACATATAGATCTGTACCGAGTGACAAAAACACATTTCATAAGTTAATACTTGTTTCTATTTAAAACAACAATATCTTTACCAGATTGTAAGGAAAGAAATTCATCAGCCTGATCTTTAACATCTTCTTGTCGTCTTTCCACAAGACGCTGTGCTCTTTGCTTTAGTAGGTCACTCATAGATCTTTCTGCTGCGTCTATAGCTGTAGCCTACAGGACAGAAAAAGCAAGGATGTTAAATGGCAATAACACCAGATAGACAGACAGTAAGTTATACAGACACACACACGAACATAATATGGGTGGACAGGAACCGTGGACAGACACATTAGTAGACAAACATGGACAGACACATGGGTGGAAATACACACATATGGACAGATGTACACAGACAGACAAATGGGTAGAGAGACACATGAACAGATAGACATACACATGGGTGGAAAGACACAAAGTCAGACATACATGGACAGACACATGTGTAGAGAGACACATAATATGGACAGACATATACCTGGACGGATACACATATACCTGGATGGATACACATATAGAGACACAGACATGTAGATAGACTCATGAATGGACTGAAAAATTTACCGTTCCAGTATTTACTTCAGTGATCTTGGAACAATAATTGTTCCAAGTAGAGATTGAACTTGCTGCGTAATCATACATTAGTAAACGTAATACTAAGGGTTGTTACATTGTGAAACATTTTTTGTCTGACAATGGGTCAGCGACCCTAAAGCTTGAAAAAAAAACTAAATTTAAAATACTGTGTTGAAGAAGCAATTTTTTAAGAGGAATGAAACCAAAACAAAACCAAATGATGAGTCATGTGTCATCCATATATGTGTCTGCACAACCAAACCAAACAAATTTTTAAGAGGAATGAGATCAAAACTCAACCATATTTTGAAACGTAACATGGTTCAAACTAGTTGAATCCATCGGTCACTGCTTGAATCCATCTTCATAAACCAGTCCATATTCCTGGTTATGAAACATAAATTCAAGTATAGTAGTCATTGAAGTACTACAAACAGGCGGCAGGAGTACAGAGCATCGGAATGACAAGCCCTGTTCCATCCACCCTTGCTTGTATCACCCACCTTTTCATTAAGGCATTCTATCAAGTCCCTGACATACCCCCTCATCTCTTGGTAAAACCCATACTGCCGCTCCGCCTCTACACCTCGCCGTATAAGATTCTCAATACTTTCTTCTGACACCCTTTGGTGTTCTGTGATCTTATCTTGCTCCATGCAGTGCCCACGATGAACCTCATTTAAGGATTCTAGTCGCTTGTTCATTGCATCCCAGACTGTTTCCATGGTAACGACTTGTGACTTTGATGACCTAATTTGTCCAGGAAGATGCGAACCATTGTATTTCTGTTGGGTGGATTCCTGGCCATATTCACCTCCATAAGGATACACATTTTGGTTGAACAAAGAGCTTTTTTGGTAACTCTCTTGAGAAATTGAAAGATTCTGTACTCCATAACTTTGCGGCTCTTTATCTTGCTGGGCCTGAGATGCAGACACTCCTTTACGGATCTGTTCATTTTCCCATCTCTTTGTTTCTTCATCTTCTTCGTCTTCCCCCTCCTCATTCTCATTATCCTCATCCTTCATGTAAAAGTTATTATCTTGGGTCTTAACAGCATTAAAACTGATAGGCCCATCCTCATCATCACTTGCATCATTTTCATCTTCCCGCACCAGACGTGAAGCTGAATCAAACCGACCAGAAAACCTTTTAGTGTCGTCTAAGGGAATAAAGTCTTGTCCTGTACCAGACTGTCTTGCCATTTCTCTCTTCTTCTTCAAGGCATGTATGGTTGCAGCGTCTGGTATATTAAACTGATGCTGCCTGACTGCAGCTAGTGAATTTGAACTTGCTTCTTTATTCTCTTGAGAATTATCACTTTCTTCACCATCATCATCTTCATCTTCGTCTAGTTTTGACATCTGATTTAGCTCAGCCCGTAGAGCTGCAAGCTTTATGTCAGCAATGTTGTCATTTTCTGGAGACTCTAGCCTACTTTGACCATCAACATTCTCGCCTTCTCTACCTTTGTCCTTTTGTTTTTCCTTCTTTGACTTTGCCTTTTTGCTCAGCTTCCGACTTTCCTTTGATTTACGAACTTGAAAAACTTCTTCCTCATCATCGTGGTCGAAACTCAACAGAGAACTTGTCGAAGCAACCTTCTCAATCTTTGCTTTACTCTTCACTTTTTCAGCCAATTTTCCAGTAGTAATTGCATTAATGTTCTCTGTCGATTCGTTCTCGTTTGCATCATCTTCCTCTTCGTTTAATTCCAGGTTTTTTTTTCTAAAATTACGTTTTGATTTTCGAAACATGGCGGCCATGTTCTTCTACCTAAGCCTGCGAGGCATCATGGGCGATTACTCCACAGGTAACCCAATCTAGGAGACAAAAAAAGATGTGATAAGATAAAAAATCTAGTCACAAATAAAAGAGAATATTTTTTAAGAACCACATAAGATCTCGTTAATATTATCTCTATACTTGTGTTTCAAAATCTTTTCGTAGTTTTGTTCATCACCTTTGTTTATCAAATAACTATACAGAAAAATAACTTGGACTGCCTGTGGTTACTCCCTTACAGCCTGTCCTGAGAGTTAAACAGTCCCGCGCGTTCTTACTCGAAGAACGCCTGACCATTTCCATCATTTCATCAACAAAATTTATCAGAGAATTCCTTTGTCCAAAAAATTAAGAAAATTGGTACTTAAGATGGCATATTATGGTGGTGGAGGGGGCTATAGGCCGCCTAAGGTAAACTATCTTCCTAACATTGATTCAAATTTGCTGGCTACGGTCCGAGATGAGATGAATCGAAAAGAAGAAGAGAAGAGAGAACAACAAAGGAAAAGAGAGGCCGATAGCAGAAAAGTTGCCTATTATCTTACACAGCTACAGGCTATGGTTAGAGAACTACCTGGGTAAGGAATTAAACTATGTAACTCTATTAAAATATTGCCTTTATTCACTTTACATGTAGCCCGTAAAGTCCTCAGTTGCAGATCCAGGAATCTTAGGAGAAGGGGAGGGAGGATATTACGAAGGTTTTACCAGGAATTGGAGGAAAAGGGAGATGACTGTTACTAACGATATACTGAGAAATTTGTTCACCATGCCTTATATACTGTTGTTTGCACCCAAGCTAGACCAGAATGCGCCCTCTTTATGAAACTCGGGAAAGGCCTAGAATAAAGGAATGATGTACAGAAATTCCTTAGCATTTTCAGCCCGTCACATTCCATTTTTAAAACTAAGATGTCAAGGCCACCACTAGGATAGTACTAATCTACTGTATAAAAACTCTCCAAACCTTTTAACAGTCCTCTGAGGTTCAGTAACCCAGTGTCCATTGGGTGTAAACTGTATATTTATGAGGAAATTATCTTTTAGGAACTCCAAGAGTAAACTGACCTTTGACATACTTTCTGCAATTGCAACATCTCTTCTTGATGGAACTGTGTTTGACATTGTCAGAGGTCTAGAAGATATTCAACAGCTCACTGAAAGAAACCTGCTGAACAAGAGAATGAAGCTTGTCAATTCACATAAGGGTATACTGTAAACTTGGAGCTACTTTCTTATTAATATGTTACAGCATGGGAGATCAGAAAATGCTTTTTAGAGTCACATTGATTTGGGAAGCTAGTGCGAAGTTATTAATACATTTATTCATTGGATTGATGGAAAGTATGGGGTTTGCTGAAACAGTGAGTAGGGGACACGGCAGGGGGAGAAGAAAATGTTTGGCCACCATGAAGGTTAGGTATATAATACATAGGTATATAATTTTTGAAAACATAGTATAACTGGGTATAACTGGGTATTACCCAGTGATTTGATCAATTCTATATGGGACTGCATGGACATTGAGTGTTAACATTTGTGATAATTCTGCACAGCTCAGAGAATGGAAATGACCAAAAGACACAATAAAAGCATTGAAGATTGTCAACAAAGACCTCACAATTTACCAGTGGTTGAAAGAGACAATTTAGAAGAAAAACAGGTTGGTTGTAAGATATGGATTTCTGGTGGCCTGAATGGATTTTGTGATGCAAGTAGAATGTTGTCATCAACCCTAGCTTGGTGGGGAGGATCTAATGGAGGGAGGGTATATTGTGTCATTCAAGAACAATCCAGATGGTCCCCACGTCTTAATTATTCATATTACCGCCGAAAAAGCTTACCCCTAGGTTCCATTAATGCTTTCTTATTTGAATATTGAAATTTATTCTTTCTAAGAATACAAAGTCTCAGGATTCAAAATACAGGTGGGCAGAACCGGGGGC